TGTATGTACTTTTAATGAAAAAAGTTTATTAATGAATTATTAGATTTTATCTGGAAAAGAAATATTACATTAAAAATGTACAGTGTAGTACTATTATCTGCCATGCATTATTTTATGGTTGCTTTTTTACTGTACACTTTTTATGTTCTTATTGGCTTATTGCATGGAAAAAGGTGATTACTTGGCATTTTAAAATTGCTGAAATTACTTTGTGTTGCTATGGTTTTTTGGTTGATTTTGTAAAAATTTATGTTTGTTTGTAATTAACTATGATTTTCTACGTATTTACCAGTTCATATTAACTATATGTGCTAGGCAAAGACAAGAAAGGAAGCTGTAATCTTTCCCGTGTGGACAGTACGACTTGCCTTTTCCCTGTTGAAGAAAAAGCAGTAGAATATTACTTTGCTTCTGATGCAAGGTGAGCATCCTTAATTGATTCAAAGAGAATTTTAAGTAAAATTTCTCATGCAACAGTAAATGAAGTTGTTTTGTGTAAATCTAGTTATACTTTATTAGAGAGCTTTCTCTTCTTTCTTCTGTGTTACTAGCACGTAAACCTAAGGCCTTGTGCAAGCCACTGTCCTGTATTTTCAGCTCTTAAATTTTCTTCATTAAGAAATATAGGTAGCCTTGTGGAGATGGGGCTATAAGTGCACTCCCTACCCCCACTCCCCATTTTGAAACATGAAGTTTGGTTTAGCAAGAATACAAATAGTCCTTGATATTTGTTGCAGTGCAGTTACTTTGGAGCACTTGTACTTATTTGCATTCTCTCTCTCTCTCTCTCTCTCTCTCTCTCTCTCTCTCTCTCTCTCTCTTTCTCTCTTTCTCTCTTTCTCTCTTTCTCTCTTTGGCGGAACCGGGGATTGAACTTGGACCCTTGCACTTGCCAGGGAAGCACTTATTCTACTGAGCCATCTCCCCAGCCTACCTGCCCCCTCCCTCCCTGCTCTCTCTCTGTCTTTGTCTCTGTCTCTCTGTCTGTCTGTCCCTTCCTTCCTCCTTCCTTCCCTCCTTCCCTCTCTTTCTCTCTTTTCCTCTCCCTCCTTGTTTTGGCTTACCCAGCTTTGTAGAGAGGAGAAATTTTAGTTAATTATTCTGTTATTTGCAGTACACAGTTTAACCCAGGGCATTGTGCATACAAAGACAGTACTCTTAACTCTAAGCTAGATTAGATTATAGAATAGCTTAGTTGGTATTGCACCAATTATAGTATAAATAGCTGAGTTATTTTACTTTTATTCTTTTTTTTTCGGAACTGGGGATTGAACTCAGTCCCTTGCACTTGCCAGGGAAGCAGTTGTTCTACTGAGCCATCTCCCCGGCCCCAACATTGGCCTCTAATCTCCTTTATTTATTTTTATTTTATTTTATTTTTTTGGCAGAACCAGGGATTGAACTCAGGCCCTTGTGCTTGCCAGGCAAATGCTTATTCTACTGAGCTATCTCCCCAGCCTTTACTTTTATTCTAACATGGACACTTATCTTGTACATTTAGAATGAACTTGCAATATGATCACTTCAATAGCGTAGTGGTACTAGACCAAGAGATTATATGAACTATAGCTGTGAGGATAAAAGTCACTCACAAATTGCCAGTAGATATTTGAATCATGCACTGTGCCGGAAATAAAAAGAAATAGTAAGAGTTAGAAAATGGTATCATGTAGGACTTAAGGGAATATATTATGTCAGTGGGGAAATAAGCTTCAGTGTTTTCTAATTTTGCAGTTATGTAATTTCTGTCACTAAGTAGCTTTGTTACAGAGTTAAGTTATATTTTAAACTGGAGATTAGAGACATGATCAGTCTTATTCTTGCATTAATGTTGAACACCCTAAGCAAAGCCCATATTCTGGTCTCAGAAGCTCATAGTGAATAAGAAATAAAAATTTTGCTTTCCCCTGTAGAATACTTTCATGAGACAATTATTAAACAATAATTATGTAAATATAAAATTTCCACTGTAATGAGTACACAAAATGCTTAGAACAGGCTAATTTGTCTCTTTCTGGGTAGGTTTCTTTCAGGGCATGAGCTTGAAGTGAGAATTAAGGGGAAATTAGGAGTTAATTAGGTGGAGAAGTAGAGGGAAGAACACTGATTTTTTGCAGATGGCTCATCCCGTGAGAGTGCACGAGAGATGTACATGTGGCTGGAAGTAGAGGGAAGAAGTCTGGTGGGATATGAGGCTGGAGAAGCAAGTATGGGGGTCATGATAATACATTTTGATGTTTTCCTTAAGCAAATAGAAGCCATTAATGGTTTCTTGGGTAAGGGAGAAAACTTGATTAGAGTTACTTTCTGATACCAGTTTTGGCAGAGAACAAAATGGATGGGTGGAAATAAAAGAGAACTTGGAGGGTTTAAGAAAATACTGCAGTAACTAGCCATAGCACTGATAGCAGTTTGTACTAGTTTGTGATGATGGACAATAGCAGGATGCTTTGCAGAATGTTTAGAGATTAAAATTGCAATATTTAGTGATGGATAGAGAAAAGGAGGAAATAGCCAGGCCTTTTGATCTAATCCAATCTGCTTAAGTTGTTTGGCAGGGATCCTATTTTTTTGGTCCATAGTACCCACCCACCTCCACTGCCTTGTAGGTGATGGTGTTGTCAGAAAGTTTATAGAAGTACTGCAAGATTATAGTATTTGTATTTAAATTTAGTCCTTGTGTCCTATGGATAGTTTCCTTGGTAATACTGAACCTTGTTTGACTGTAATATCTCCTTAAATGTTTTGTAGTGCTGTCATAGAGCACACCAACCGTGTCATCTTTCTAGAAGATGATGATGTTGCAGCAGTGGTAGATGGCCGTCTTTCTATCCATCGAATTAAACGAACTGCGCGAGATCACCCTGGAAGAGCTGTACAAACCCTCCAGATGGAACTCGAACAGATTATGAAGGGTGAAGGTTTTTTTCATGTTACAGTATGGTGTCCTTAAAGGAGGCATTCTACTTTCTGTTTACTAGTGAATCTCATAATACTGTTGGGTGGAATCTTCCACATGATTAGTGAAGAGGGAACTACAGGAAAAGGGATTTTTCAAAAAAATTACCTGCTAGTCTTATAATAGTTTTTTGTTTTGTTTTTCTGTTGTTTTATTTTATTTTATTTTTCTTTATTTAGGACAGGCTCTACAGGGTTTCAGTTCATAGATTGGACTCGTAGTGATTCTTCTGTTTTCAGCCTCCCAAGTGCTGGAATTACAGGCGTGTGCCACAACACCCAGTCTCAATTGCTGTCTCAGCGCACTCTGTGGGTGGGACCAACACAGCACACCAGAGGTCAAACCCTGGCCGCTGTGCTCTGCCTAAGCAGGCACTTTACTCCCCTGAGCTATCAGGCTGGCCCTTGTTTTTGTGTTTTTGAGACAGGGTCTTGTTATGTAGTTCAGGCTGGCCTTGAACTCACTGTATAATCCAGGATCACCTCAAACTTGGGGCCATTGTCCTGCCTCAGCCTCCTGAGTTCTGGAATTACAGGACTTCGCCACATGCCTGGTTTACAATAGTTGTTTAGAGTAGCTCTCTCTCTTTTTTTTTTAGTGTGTGTGGTACCAGGGACAGAACTCAGGACTTTGTGCTTGCCAGGCAGGCACTTAAGCTGCTGAGCTATATCCCTGGCCCGTGATTTGCTATTTTTAACATAATAAAAGATTATTTATACCTGATATTTTAAGATTCTCTTGGAGTATAGTTTATGTTCTGTTAGTTACTCTTCTTGTATTCCCTGTACTTAAGTTCTCTCATTTTTAGTTGTGAATAATAAAACCTACTTTAGTCATTGATAATTAAAAGGGTTAGTTATATAAAGTCAATTAAACAATGCCTGGTACACTTGATGCCATAATGTTTGGTGCCATTAACCATTCTGATTATTTTGATTTTGATTATTTTCTTTTCTGATTAGGCTGTTGTGGGAATAAAAACTAACGTTTGTTGCATAATGAGTATATGTCATATTTCTTTACCATATTACAGTCCACACTATGGAATAATTTTTACTGTTATTTTGCAGACCAAGAAATTCTCCTAGTTGAGATAGTAAAGGATAAACCATGATTTAAGCCTAGGACTGACTCTTTAAAATTAAGCTTGTCATTCTCCTGAGTGTTATAACTATACAATTTAGATGTGAGCTAAATGATAATAATGCCTTTTTTTCCATACGTGTTTATTTTGCTTCACATAGAGTAAAATATGTTCGTCCAGTCTTTTAGAAAGTTATACAATATATGAATATTATTGTGTTATGTATAAGTTTCTTATTCTTGGGTTTATTAATTGTTTTTAATGATTTCTATTTCTGTTACTGTAGGCAACTTCAGTTCGTTTATGCAGAAGGAAATTTTTGAGCAGCCAGAGTCTGTTGTGAACACAATGAGAGGAAGAGTGAATTTTGATGACTATACTGGTGAGACATATGAATTATTATATTATTTTAAAGTCTCTTTAGTGTGGTTGTCATTAGCAACCTTAAAGTTCAATATCCCCTGTAGCCTTGTAGAGTAACTATGAGTGCTAGCTTTCACTGGAGGCTAGTTTTTCAGTGTATGATTCCACTTATATGAGGTGTCTAGCATGACTAGATTCATGGAGACAGAAAGTAGGTTAATGTTTACCAGGTCCAGGGATAGGGGGAAATGGGAGTTATTGTTTAGTGGGTATAATTTCAGTTTGGGATATTATAAAGTTGTGGAGATGGACAGTGGTGGTATTTGCACAAAGGTGGGCATGTGCTCAGTGTTACTGAATTGTGTACCTAGGAATGATTAATGGCAAACTATGTGATTGGGACCTGCTGTGACTGCAAGGTGGTAGTTCTGGGCACTGTCCTGGGCACTGTGTATTATAAGAAGAATAAGACTTGGTCAGTCTGCTGGAAAACTTAATGTGTCAGGCTCGGATTTTTCTCTCTCAGGTTATAAATAAGTGAATGTGTATACTTTCCCAGAAGCCTTTTAGGTGTGCTTTGTGGGATAACCTTTATCTTCCTACATGTTAAAGTGGAGGTCAGAATGCAATATTAGTCTTGTTTGTGGAAATTCTCTCCAAACCATGTGTCCTAGTAGTTTATAAACATCTTACAGTTATAAACTGTTGGTTTCAAAGTCATCTCATAGACAAGAGTGGACCATAGAAAAATTATACGTAGTATAGTTTTATGCTTGGCATTCTAATAAATTGGAAGGGGGTGATGAATATATAATTAATTGTTTATAAAAGGTAAAACATAATATGGTATTAGAAATGCATTTTCATGTTGAAATGCTAAAAAGTTTTATGTTGCATTTGGGGAAAATAGAAAATGAGTCTGTTTGTGAAAGGCGCTCTCATATCAGGGAGTACTTCATGAAGCAGAAAAGTATGGGTTTTAAAGGATTTGGAAGGTTTAAATAAATGAATTTGGAAGATTTAATAATAGGTGAAGGTTTAATAGGTTTAAATAGGAACATTCATTTGTGGAGAAGAACATTAGCTAAGGTGAGATAGTGGAAAATTATTAGGATAGTGGAAAATTGTTTGTCTATCATTTAGTACTTGAAGAGCAGTAAGAGAAAATGTCTAGGGAAGGAGGGAGAAGAACTATGGGGGGGGGGCCTTGAATGCATTCTGTTGTGGGGGCTGGGTAGCAGGTTATAAAAATTATAGTGTTGTCTTATGAGCCAGAGGCAAACCTAGTTGTGCTTTACTGAGATGAACTGGACACCAATTTCCTGTGTGCTTTGAAGGAGTGAAGAGGCTGAATTGCAGCTGTTAGATCAGGTGTTGTCCTATCTAGGGTATGATGAAAGGAGTGGAAGAGAGGGAGACCAGGAGAGAAACAGGAGCAACACAAACCAGGATTTACATTTCTTATGTAGGACAGGGGGTTATTGAAGATAATTAGGCTGGAAGAACTGGAAGAGTAGCAGAAATACCATTTAGAGTATTTGTGAAATTGCATTCAAAAAAAGTAATTATTTCATAGGGGAAGAGAGTGAAACAGGCACTGAGAAGTTTATAGGGTCATTTTTTTCTTCTGTTCTGCCCATGTATTAGGCATCAGACTTAGAACCTTGCACATGAGCTGTACCTTCAGCCCTGAGAAGTTAATGATTTTTAGAAGCGTTTTTGTCTTTAATTATGTACATAAAAATTCTATAACATAAACAGAATAGCTGTTACTTTTTTGTTTATAAGATGAAAAAGTCACAACTCAAGCTTGACTGTCTTGCCAGTTTAATATTGCTAGTCACTCATGGAACTGGCCATGTATCCTCATGTGAGTGGTGTTCCCAAATGCTCTCTATTCTTGCCCCTGTCTATGAATTATCAGAGTAAGGCTTCTCTCAAAAGCATTATCAGTTCAGACTATGGGTGTCTTCTTGTAGATCTACTTACTCTATTTTTTTATGATTTTAGGAAAGGGTCTACAGAGTATAGCACCCTGTGAGATCAGACTTGTAATTTTCCTGATTTCATCCTCCCAAGTGTTGGGATTATAGGCGCGAGTCACCATGTACCATCTCAATTGTTGTTTTAGCATACCCTGGGGGTAGGGCCAGCACAGCATGCTGGGGATTGAACCCCAGCTGCTGCGCTCTGCCTAAGCAGGTGCTTTAGATTGCTTTGCTATCTGGCCAGCCCTAGATCCACCTACTGTAAACTCCATCACCTATTAGGGAATTTGCTAGGTCTGATTTTTGGGGAAACACAGTGACTTTTCTTTTTTTTCTTTTTGGTATTTAATACATGGCCTACAGGGTCTCACTACACAGATTGGACTCGTAGTGATCCCTGTTTTCAGCCTCCCGAGTGCTGGGATTACAGGTGTGCACCACCATGCCCAGTCTCAATTGCCTTCTCAGTGTGCCCCAGGGGTGAGGCCAGCATGGCACGCAGGGGATCAAACTGGGCTCCTGTGTCTGCCTAAGTCTTCTATATTGAATATAACCCTGATCCATCCTTGAATTGCTGTTTTCTTTCTTTTTGGCAGAACCGGGGATTGAACTCAGGCCCTTGCGCTTGGAATTACTGTTTTCTTTCCTTGTGGTGCATGCCAAGGTCTGTGGGTAGTTTTGCCAGTAGGCGGCCAGTGCAAGAATAGCATGAGTGTTAGTCTGAATGGTGCAGCCAGAGTAAGGGGAAGCACTACATGATTAGGTCAGAGTGAAGCAGGCATCAGGTCAGGGAAGACTTGAAAGACATAAAAAGGAGTTTGGACTGGATTCTAAGTTATTTGTAAAGCCAGTGATGGACCTTTTTCTTTTGTTTTCTATTTTTGTGACTTAAAAATAGAATACCTCCCACTATTAAAACTTTAAAATGAAAATATAAAATCATTCAAACAGATAAAAAGTAAAACATATACCTTTACGTTGTAGTATAACTAAAATAGGAAAAAAAAATGGGGAGATGAAGAGAACAGACTAATGGAAGATGGGAGAGCACAGGAAGACCATACCCACAATGATGTATATTGCTTTCTCCACAGCCAGGGCTTTCAACTGTCTAGAGCCCTTGCTACTCAGGGTCCTGACTGTGACATTCACCTACTGGGTGTGTCAGTAGTGCTAATTGAGTGAGAGAATGAATGTTGTATGAGAATTCTGTCCAGGTAGAAAATTAGTCAGTATAGAAGATTCTACAGAAAACACAGGTAGAGAAACCTGTAAATAGCTAGAGACAGTAAATAAGGAAAAATTAAAAAAAAGAAAAAAAAAAAGAAAAAAAAGATGACTCCATTGGAGTATTGCAAAGCCGTATTTCTGTTTTTCAAGGATCACTCTAAAGACCACTGTGCCTGTTTGTGGAGGGGAGATTCTAGGACAGTGGTTGTGAACCTTTTAGAGACTAAGTATCCAAACTGCAACCCAAAACCCATTTACTTATTGCAGAGTACCAATGCTGCAATTAAACCTGAACCCTAAGGTTTTAGTTTATAAGAAAATAACTGTTACCCGATGCTCAACTGCTGGGGCAGTGCCAGAGCAGCATGGTGTGTGCTGACATAGAAGGCTCTGCAGCTGTGGCATGCATGCCATACGGTCACCACCGCTGCTCTAGGAGGTCACAGGTACAAGAGAGGAGTCAGGATGATGTTGCTGACTTTGTGGGAGAGATACTGGTGTAGTACAGGTGGGTTTTAGGGTAGATGTGGAGGAGGGCTAAGAGCAATAGAAGATGCTGCTGACTTTTAACTGGAGCAGTTAGGTGAATGGTACCAGCATTTACTGAGATGGCACAGACTGAGAAGGGAGTGGCTTTATATATCATACAGAACACTGTTCTGGACACCCAGTGTGAAAGCGGAGGAAGCATAACCGCAGAATAGTTTTTTTCCAGGCTGGTTTATGAATTAGATATTATAAAATTCATATTCTTTAATGTGCAAATCTGAGTTTTTATTTTTAATATGACATTTTGCTATGTAGCTCAATATGGCTTTGAACTATGGGGCTCAAGTGATCTACCTGCTTCAGCCTCTGGATAAAATTCTGAGTTTTAAAGAATTTTAAAATTTCTATTAGTATGTGTTCATAGTACATAGTGATGATTACATTTGTTGTGGTGAATTGGTACATACATATATTTCAGTTATTTTTTT